TTTCCTGACTCTATGCCTTTTAATAGACATTCTCCAAGCCTAGAATGCACTCACTCCTCACCTCTGCCTCCTTGCTTCTCTGGCTTCCTTCAAGACTCAGCTCAAATCCCACCTTCTGCAATTGGCCTTTCCTAGTCCTCTCAGCTGTTAAGTGCCTCCTCTCTGAGATCACCTCCTATCTACACTATATACAGCTTGTATGTACCTAGTCGCTTGCATGTTGTCTTCCTCATTAGAATACGAATTCCTTTGGGGTAGGGACCACATTTTTGCCTGTATGTAAGGCACAGTGCCTTATCCACAGTAAGGGCTTAATAAATGTTTGTTGACTAACTGACTAAATTCCTACACTAGCTGAACTTTTAAGAATCCTATATAAATATAAGGAAACATTTTTATATTATTCAACCTATTCTTCATTAATAGCCTTAAGACATGAACAACCTGACATGGTCATGTGTACTTACCTAAAGGAGAAATGATTTCAGTAAGTACTCTCCCAACTGATATAGATCACAATCCCTTCCCTGTTATACCCCTACCCTGACCCCTCAAGCTTGGTAGACAGTTTTATGAATTGCTATGGTCAAAAATTTTATCACCCTGTAGCCAATTCTCTAGTGATGAGCCCCTTCACACTTAGTAGGCACAAAAGCAGACACCATTCCATATTCAAAGCCCTTCTGGCTTGGCAGCACCAGTCAGAGCTCTTTTTTGCAATAGCAAAGCCTTCTTCAAGAATGTAGGGTCAAGTTCAACCTTAATACGGTGAGCCCTCAGGAAAGGGAGGAATCATCAGTTGCCTTCTCCTTTTTGCAGCTAAATTTCTGAAAAAAGTCACCTAGAATTGGTGCCTCCATGTTTTTCCTCTCATTCTCTTTTTAGCTCTCTTCAATGTGGTTTCTAAATCAGTATTCAAATAAAAATGATCTCTCCAAAGTTACCAATTATCCCTTTTCGAAAAACATTTTGTTTTAATTAACCAAAATCTACCTGCTCACTCTCTCATCCCCACTGAAAACACAAGGAAAACAAAACCCATCACAAACATGTATAGCCAATCAAAACAAACTTCTACGTTGGCTATGTCCAAAAAGAATTTCTCATTCTGCATTAAGCCCTTCACCTCTCTTATCAGAAGGTGGGCAGCATGTTTCCTCATTAGTCCTCTGGAATCCTGGTTGGTCATTATGCTGATAAAGAGTTCAGCACAATAATACTCTATCACATTTATATACCATATTAACCTATTCCCCAATATTTGAGCATCCCCTCATATTCCCATTCTTTGTCACTTCAAAAAGAGCTAAAATTATTTTTGCATACCCTTATTTTCCTTAAGACTGATCCTTAACTTACCCTCTCTCTAAACTCCTTCTGCCCCTTCTTCCTTTTCCCTATTTCTCTGCTGAGTGAAGTATATTTCTGTACTCAAGTGTGTGTGTGTGTGTGTGTGTGTGTGTGTGTGTGTATTCTTCCTTTTTCTGACCAGTTCAGATCAGAGTGAGATTCAAGTGTCAGCACCAACCCCAACTGCTCCTCATAATTTGTACAGATGTCTACTTGCACACCCTGATTATGTTTTTGCTTCCTCCCTCCCCTCCCCCATCATCATGTATTTGGTTCCCCTTTTCCATTATTCTCTTAAGATCATCAAGACATAACAGAACCACCGCCAAGTCTTGTCCAATTGGACTTCCTCTATGACCTCAGATGTTAGGGTTCAGAAGAAACACATTTCTTCATATTTAAATGTAAGCAGTTTATCTTTGTTTCGTTTATTCATGTTTAACTTTTAACGTGTCTCTTCCTTGCTGTGATCAAACTTCATAGTTTCTGCACAGCTCTGGTCTTTTCATCAAGAATGCTTGAAAATCCTATTTCATTACAAATCCATTTCTTCCCCCTTCCTCAGTTTTGCTAGGTAAGTTATTCTTAGCTATAAGCCCATATATAGCCTTTCTCTTCTGGAATACTAAAGTCCATGCTCTCTGCTCCTTTACACTGCTGGGTACTAAGTCATGCTTAATCCTTGTTTTGATGCCTTAGTGATTGAATTGTTTCTTTCTTGCTGCTTGAAGTATTTTTTCTTTTACCTGGAAACACTGGATTTTGGTGATGATATCCCTGGGAGTTTTCATTTTAGAGCTTCTTTCAAGAGTTAGATTTTTTTTTTCTATTCCTACTCTAACCCCTGGTTCTAAAAGATCCATGCAGTTCTCTTTCAAGACTTCTTCAAATATTAGGTCTTTTTTGGCCATGGAATTCACGTAGCCCACTGATTCTTAAATTTTTTCTTCTCAATCTGTTTTCCAGGTCAGTTGTTTTCACTATGAGATAACTCAGATTTAATTTTTTTTTGGCTTTTGACTTTGTTTTAATATTTCTTGTTGCCTCACTGATTCACTGGCTTCTATTTGATTCATTCTAATTTTCAGGGAGTTTACCGCTTGGGCAAAGTTTTGTACCCCTTGTTCTAAACTGTTAATTTCCTTTCCAAGTCTTTCTTCAATACCTCTCATTTCTGTTCCAATTTTTTCTTCAAGTGCTCTCATTCTACTTACAAGAACATTTTAACTCTTTCAAAAAAAAAATCCTGCTTTATCTCTTCCAAGCATTCTAGTTGAGTTTGTGTCTAACCTGTGTTTTCCACTGAGGCTTTGCTCATAGATGTGATAGAATTATTCTGTTCTTCTGGATTTGAATCTTGAGCTTCCGTGGCACCATAATAATAGCTCTTTTAAAGACACAGATAATGGGCAGTTTCGCTGTAATCCCTTCCTTACTCTTTCTAAACCAGGAGTTCTTTTCTTTTATTTTTTATGTCCTGGACTCCTTTGGCAGTCAGTCTGATTAAGCCTACAGCTCCTTCTCAAAAGAATATTTTCAAATGCATAAAATAAAGTACACAGGATTGCAAAGGAAGAAACCAATTATATTGAAATAGAAATGTAATTTGGCAGGGACTCTTTTACTTTTGCCTTTGTATCCCCAACACCTAGTAGTACCTGGCATACAATAGGTATTTAATAAATGCTTACTAATTGATTAATCTAGAATGTGGGAACTGGTACCAGTTATAAGGGATAATTCAGGGGGGAAAAAAAGAAAGATTACTGAAAGCATTCAATACCCTCTACAGCTTGACAGCTTTTTCAGCCTCATCTCCCTTTCCTGAGGCATTTTACTAATGCTTACTAGCTCAGGTGTTCTTAACTTGGTGCCCATAGACCTCCCAGGTAAATCATGGTCAGATTTTAGGGAGTCCATGAACTTGGATGGAAAAAAAAAATTTACATTTTCATTTTCACTAAATTCTAATTGAAATTTAGCATTTCCTTCCATTATAAAAGTGGGTAACAAACCATAATATTAGCTGTACTTCTGACTTTGTCTTCAATAGGAATCACAGATACTTTCATATGATATCACATCACAACTGAAAATGTAACCTTGTCAAAGACCACTCCAGTTTATCGTTCTTATTTAACCTAAACTACAACAGCCTTTAGGTTTTAGAAAATAAAATTTAAGTCTTTAGAAAATAAAATTTAACTTTAACTTGCCTATATTTTAAATGTGTTATTTTATTCTAACATATTAATAAAACACATATCCCTAAATTACAAATTTAATACTTTAATAACATTTTAATAATTGGTTCCATTGTAATCCTGTGTATTTTATTTTATGCATTTAAAAATATTATTCTAAGAAAGGATCCATAGGCTTCACCAGACTGCCAAAGAAATCCAATAATATATATCAAAAGATTAAAAACCCCTGTTCTAACTATTCTCTTAACCCCCAGATATGTATGTCTTGTACAGCTCTCCAACCTCCAAGCCTTTATTCAATGTTATTTCTCACACCTAGAATGTCTTCTCTACTGCCTTTTGGATACTAAATTCCTACCCAAACTTAAAAACTAATTGAAATGCTACCCCTTCCATGAAGCCTTTCCTGATCCCCTTAGTTACTATATTCACTATTGGACTCACTATTAGACCTCACACAGCCCTTTGTTTTCCAATGTACTTGTCATGTAATATCCATTATGGCTATCTGTTTTTGCATTTTATCTCCTGACTAGATTAGGAGCATCATCAGGATAAGGACCATGTATTATCCAGACACTATCTTCCCCAGTGCTGAACACAGTAGTTGCACACACTGAACACCTAAGTGTAAACTTATGTTAGTAAAGTGTTAACTGAATGGAGAGAAAGTTATGCAATAGGAGTTAGTTAAGTAGAAGTAAGTATATAAGCACAATTAGGGAAACATAAAGATCTGGGAAAGTGTTTCAGTCAAAGTGGCACAGTCATAGACCTGGATCAACTAGAGAAATGAAGATAAGGAAACCAAACCCTAAAACTAAACTACCCCCACCATCTAGCTTCTCTACTAGGACATTCCAGTGTTGCTGAAATCTGCTAGACAAAGTCACACAATCATCCACACTAGGTTCACTGTAAATTGATGGGATTTGATCTTAAATGGGTTCTCACTGCTACATGGCAATCCTTTTCTTCTTCCCTTATTGACTCCATTCCCCACAATGGCTGTTCTAAACTCTCCTTTCCTATATAGTATTCCCTATCCTTTCACCCTCAGCAGAGGATCTATGATCCTATGACCTCATCTCCTACTTTACTTCTACTAAGCAGATGATACAGTGGATAGAACACTGGACCCAGAGTCAGGAAGACCTGTGTTCAAATCTGGCCTCGCACACTTACTAGCTATATGACCCTGGGTGAATCACTCAGCCTCTTCTCTGACTCTCCTCATCTGTAAAATGGGGATAATAGCATCTACCTCCCAGGCAGGTTTTTTGAGGATAAAACAAGATCATATTTGTGAAGCACTTTGTAAACCATAAAGCACTATACAAATGCTAGCTATTATTACTTCAGAGGAAACAAAAAGCCAGCCATTGTGAGCTGTCTCCCCTTTTCCACACCTTGAAATCCCTCTATACCATCCCCCATTCTCACCTGCTTTGCTTCAAACTCTGGGGAAGAGGTGGTCCTTCCTGTCAAGATCAACCTCTCTACTTGTGCCCTTGATCCCATCCCCTTTTTCTTCTTCGATCTTGTTCTCTCAATTATGCCTTCATTGTCTTTCATCTTCAATCTCCTTATCCATTGGGGGAGGGGGGTAAAAGGGAAAGGGAACAAGCATTTATTAAGCACCGACTACATGCCAGGCACTGAGCTAAGTGTTATACAAATAATTCATTTGATCCTCATAACAACCCTGAGAGGTAGGTGCTATTATTATCCCCATTTAACAATTGAGAAAAGTGAGTTACAGGTTAAATGACTTGCCCAAGTTCCCACGGTGAAGTGTGAGGTCACATTTGAATTCAGGTCTTCCAGATTCCAGGTCAAGCACTCAATCCACACTGTACTCTCTACCTGCCATTGGCTCTTCCTGGTTTCCTACAGACAGCCCTAAGGCTCCCTAACTTGAATGGACCTTCAGCGTCTTTGCCACACTCTCAAGTCATCATCCTATCCCTCTCCTCCCAGCTGCTGTCAAACTCCCAGGAAATCAGCTCCTCCATTTCCTTACCTCCCAGCTCATTTTTCAGCCCCCCAGCAATCTGGCTGAAACTACTTTCTCAAAGATTCACAATGATCTCTTCAATGCTAAATCCAACGGTCTTACTCAGTTCCCATTTTACCAAACCTCTCTACAGAGGTTTGGACACTTCTAACCATCTCCTCCCTTCCTGGATACTTGGTTCCTCCCTTGGCTTTCATAACACTGGTCTGTCTTGGTTCTCCTCTACCTGCATGACAGCTCCTTCTTAGTCCCCTCTGTTAACTCAAACAAGGCACAGTGGTACAGTAGGGGGAAAAAATGCTAGATTTGGGGTCAGAAGGCCTGGTTTCAAATTCCAACTCTGCTACTTACCACTTGTGTAGCCTTGGGCAAAACATTTAACCAACCTCTTTGGGCTTTGGTTTCCTCATTTATAAAATAAAGAAGTTGGACTAGTTAATTTCTAAGGTGTCTCTGAGCTCTAAATACTTCTATCATCAACTCAATGACCAACCATGACTCTAAAGAACATGATGAAGCATTCTATTGCTTACCTGACAGATAGGTGATGAACTCAGGATGTAGACTGAGACATGGGTTTTTTTTGGACATGGCCAATGCAGGAAATTTATTTTGTTGGACTTTAAATATTTGTTACAAAAGCTTTGTTTTTCTTTTTCTAAAGGGAGAGGTGAAGAGGAGCAGAAAATAAGATTTTTAATTGAAAAAATGTTTAAACAAAAATTTTAAATCCCATGATCATCACCTCCAGAGCTGCACTGCCCACCTCAAGAGCACTCAGCCCAAGAGTTGCTGGCTGGGACCACCATTCCTTGTGCATATATTAAGCATTTAATACAAATTATCTATCTATCATCCATCTCCTAGTAGTTAAATGTGGGTATCTCCCAAGGCTTTTTTATGGGCCCTTTTCTCTCAGTGATTTTAGCAGTTCCATGGATTCAATTATTTCTATACAGATGACTCCCATAATTATGTAGCAGGCCCTACTTTCTCCCCTGAACTACAGTTCTACCTTGCCAACTGCCTGCTAGACATTTCCACCTAGATGTCCCATTAGTATCTCAAACTCAACAAATGCAAGACAGCTTTTATCATCTTTTCCCAAAAATGTATCCCTTTTCAAACTTATCTCTTTCTACAGAGAACATTATCATTCTTCTAATAATCCAACTAGGTTCACAACTTTGGCCTCACCCTAGACTCTTCCCCTTTTCTCGTCTCTCATATCCAAATCAATTGTCAAGTCATATTGAATCTACCTATACAACACCTCTCATATCCATCAAGATTATTACAACAGCCATCTAGTTGGTCTCCCTACCTCCAAAACTCTCTCCTCTACAATCAATCCTCCCCACAACTGCCAAGTTCATATTCTAAAGAACAGAACTAAACATGACACGCAAAATCTTCAACAGTTCCCTTTGCCTCTAGGATAAACTCTAGAGCCTGGAATTTAACCCCCACCTTTACCACTTCTTATCTACCTTTCTAGATTTATTTTATATTCTTTCCCTTCACATAACCTAGCCAAAGTGACCTACCACTTGTTTCTCAAATTTCACATTCTATTTCTTGTCTTTATGATTTTGCATACATAGTGCTTCTCCTCCCCAACCCTGCCTGCCCCTGCCCCCAGCCAAGACTGAAATGTACTCTCTCCTTACCTTTACCTCTCAGAATACCTGGCTTCTTTCCATGCTGGGCTCACATACCACTTACTAAGGGAAACCTGTTCACTTCTGATTCCCCATCCTTCTCCCTGCTGTAAATGTTCTCTTTCTCCCAAAACTACCTTGCACTGCTACTTGCTGGGTCTCCCTATTTAAAACAAAGTCCCTTGAGAGCAAGGGACTATTTCATTTTTGTCTTTATTTCCCCCAATACTGGCACAGTGTCTTTAAAATAGCAGGTACTTAATAAATATTTTTTGACAAGTGGGGATACAAAAAGACAGACTTTGACAAAGCTTCTAAGGATAAAGTAATAGTAAGAGCATTTAAATGGTGAAAGAATGGCTCAATGAGATGCTAAGGAGAGTTTGAGAAAAAGTGGGAAAGATTAGTGGGTTCTTTTTCACAAGGTATACAATGTTGGATAAATTAAAACAAAAAGAATAATGAGCACAAAAATGTGAATGAGGGCTTAACCCATCTGCTTTGGGTTTACAAGACAGCTAAAAAGCTGAGGAGTTACATTTTTCAATTCTCACATGGAACTGGTTTCCAATCTTAGGTCAGAATTCATCTGAATGTAAGCTCCATGAATGCAGTTAATTTCATTTTTATTTTATCTCTGATTTCCAGTACCTAAGAAAAAAATATTGAGTACTTAATACACGTTTGGTGAATTGGACTGTATTAGAATCATTAGGTTGTAAGTTCCTTGAGAGCAATGTTTGAGTACTCACTATCTTGTATTCATCGTGCCTAGGATGATACTTCACAAAGAATAGGCACAAAATAAAAGCATGCTGATTTAAAGACCCAAACTAGGGCTAGTGAAGCTCTACCAAAAAGTCTTAAGGATCCTCTGAAAAGACTCAAAAGCAGGACTTGAGCAAAATGTCCATTGTGTTTTCTGAGCCAGTGGCCAACTCCCTTCCATTTATGGAAGGAAAAAGCCTAAAGCTTGAGAGAATGAGAAAACCCCACCCTGGTTCTCACTCTTTCTAGCCCCACTAAATGGTGCTGTCCTGGTGCTGAAGCTTTCTTTTCAAAAATAGTGAAACCTGAATGTACATAAGAAAAACATATCAGCTTATACCCATTCTAGATGTAGAGAAATGTATTCTCAACTCAGCAATTATTTAATAAGCATCTATCATGTGCAAAACACTATCAGGCACTAAGAATACAAAAACAAAAAATGAAACAGTCCTTGCCCTCAAAGAGTTTACATTCTAATGGGGAGATCAAAAAGAGATCTAATATACAAAGCAGCACATAAGCTGTGCTTTAGGAGGAACAGACAAGAATGTATGATACATTAAAAAAATAGAAGAGAAGTAAGGGACCTACTCTGCCTCTCCTAGCCTAGACCAAAGGTATTCAAGCCCCAAATATGAAATCTGTCATTCTATGCTTAGAAGAATTGCCTTAGGAAAGAAAAGAAGCTTTATTAACTTTGTCTATGATTACCTTAGAAATTACAGAAGAATTCTCCCTCTCTATTGGCAGCTAGGTGGTACAGTAGAGTCAGGAAGACCCGAGGTCAAACAGCCTCAGACACTTACTAGTGGTGTAACCTTGGAGAAATTAATCAACTTTTTGTCTGCCTCAATTTCATCTGTAAAATAAAAATGATAACAGCCTACCTCTCTCAGGGATGTTGTGAGGATAAAATGCAATGTTTATAAAGCATTTTGCAAACCATAATGCACTTTATAAATGCCAATTATTAGCAAGTACCTTCCCCTTTGCCTATAAATCCTCTATGTTAATACTCTCAGAAACTCAAATGAAACTGTGATCTCACTGATGTGTAGGTTCATTTCAGTGCAACAGATTACAATTAATCCATCCTACTCAACTCTTGTCAATGCCTTCCTATACATTTGCCACGAGAGAATCCATCTTTCCTCAATTTCTTCTGATATAGAGAGGATCTGAGTAGAGCACTGCAGCTGCCCACCTGCCACAATTCATCATTGCCACATGTCCAATGCATCTTCTCTTCCAATTATGTATTTCCTCAATGACATTTTTTATTCCTGTTCTTCTAAGTCCCTCATTGTTTATATCCTGCAGCCTGCTCACACTCACCATGCACCTTTCCAGAGCCCTCTGTGTCAGAGTCATTTTAAATTCTTCAGAAATCATGCTCCATGGCCTATGCCATACAAAAACACTGGTAAAATAAAGATATTTAACAGACAGGCCTTTGTTTCTCTAGGAGAAACTTGGGAGTCATTAAAGGGGTCTTACAATTTTCTGAAAGCAATTCAGCCCAATTTCTTCCCACTGTTTAATTCTGGATCCAACTTGTCCATTTGCACTGTCTGTCCCAGATACATATACTGCTGGATAACAGTGGATTACCCAACATCTAATGTCCAGATTGTGCCTACTTAAAATATTTTTATGTTTTTACTTTTTACCTTTTACTTTTCCCTCTGTCTCCTCTAGCTACTATCCTAACTCCTTTCTTTTGCTAACTTCTCAGGTTTAAATTCCTCATTTCATACTCTTTTCCTTAAAGAGGTGCCCACCTCTTGCAAGTTCTGTAAATTCCCTTCATGGCCATCACTAACTTCCTGTCTTTTCAAATAGCCTTTTCTTCATCCAAAATCTCCTTGACTTCTCCGCTCTGCAACACACCACTGATCATCTCATTCTTTAAACTTCTTCCTTTGTCTCCCTTGATATTACATTATATTCATTTTCTTCCTACTTTTCTGAGTATTTATGCACTGGTTCCTTTTCTTCCTCCCACCCCTTAAATGTGGGCATTCCTCAAAGTTTCATGCCCATGCTCCTACTCCTCTCTGCACTGTCATGAGAATTCACCTTCTAATGTGGCTTCAACTTCTACAGCGGTGCTCTCCAAATCAGTATTTCCAGCCC